GCCCGGGCCCCGAGGGAGCCAGACCTTCCAGAGAGCTATTTTTTAGCACTGGAGACATAAAAACCTAAGAAGCTGAGCGAAACAGCCTAAAACCAAGACGTAGAATAGCTCTGGGATCGGTTTTTGGGTCGGGTGCTATTTTTTAGCCCTCCTGGAAGGTCAGGGGAGCCAGACCCCCTCGGGTCATGAGAAAATCACGGCGGGAGGTTTTTCGCTATTTTCGGCCTCCGGGGGCACTCGCCGGGCCTCGGGACCGGCAGAAAACGATTCGGGATGAAGAACTGGTCCTGGGGAATGGGTCGGGATCTCTGGGGGTCGCGTCGTGAAAAAATCATGACGCCGGGGGCCCCGAGGGAGCCCCCGCTGCAAGCAGTGGCGGAGCGTCCTGGCGTGCCTATAGAGGCGTACCTGGCAGTGTGCTAAGGACCTCTTGTGGCTTCCACGGAAGGTTCTTGGAACATGTCTGGCGGGGAGTGTCTTGTGTTATTACGTCGGCTTTATGTTCTAAGAACCTGCTTTTTCTTTTTAGAACATCTTGGAGTTCTAAGAAGATTTCGTGATAGGCCTACAGGAATGCCGGGACGGTCGGTCTTCGAGCCCCAGACATGATCGCGATTTTTCCTGTTTTATTGTTGATTGAACAAATATGCATATATATATATATATATATATATATATATATCATTTAAATACAAAAAATACAAACAAACGGCAAGGTTTTCGCCATCTTCGGCCTCGGGAGGCCCTCGCTGGGCAGCGGGGCCGTTAAGAAACGACTCAGGAGGAAAAACTGGCTCCAGGGAAGGGGTCGGTCACCACCCACCAAACCACCCCAATCCTCAACCCGAAAGCTCAACTTGACCGTCGATTTCCAGTGGGGGGGGTCGGGAAACATCGAACAAAACACGTGGAATCCTTACCCCCCCCCCAACCCGAAATTCGGGTCTTCGTGTTGGGTTGGGGTGGATTGGTAGGTAGTCAGTCGGGACGTCCAGGGACGCCGTATTCAAAACATCCAGGCGTCGCATGTCTGGGGCTACAACGTTCAGAGGAGGGCGAGTTGAGGCGGCAACGGTCGGTGGACTTCGGGGGGGCGTGTCGTCGCCACACGGCGGGACGCAGCTCGGCAAACGGATGCGCTCGGATCCCGAGGGGGGCCCAGGGACCGATCTTGTGGCCGTTGTCACAACATCTCGCTCTGCTCCGAGACGTGGCCATCGGGAAGACCGTTGGGGAGGGCGTCCAAGGGAGTGTTGGGGACTTTCGTTGTGTGCGTGTGTGGACGACATGCGTTCGGCCGTGGAGTCTTTCAGACTCATTTCATACTCAACGGGCCAATCTTCTCATAACTGCTCTTCTTCTTATTGTGCTTGCTTTTTCCTGTTCCCACCATTAGCGCTGCTAGCATGATTCTCCTATTACGTTTATGTGCGTCCTTCTTGTTTTGGAATTGGCCCCTGCATCCATGACCCCCGCATCCAGGCACACGCCTCGGGCCGTGATGCGCCGACCCCCCTTCAATGGTGAGCCCCAAGTGGGGACGGAAGCGACGGGGACGAGAACCGACAGCAGTCCGTGCCCACCTTGGGCTTGCGGTGTGGGCCCGGGGCAAAGGGCCGAGCCGATCGAGTGTGGCTCCATGGACTGCCGGGGAGATCTTGGACAGTCCAGTGGGGGTTTGCTTGTTCAGCTTATGTGTGAACGCTTCCACCACGTGTGCACGGAGTCACTGAATTTCCCATGCCGAAGCAGAAGCACACATTGCTTGATGCACGGCGTATTCATGTATCAGATCTTTTGGAATCATCACGGCATCGTGAACGTTAATTAGTATGAAAGGAACATGTTTGTATATGCGTGTGTAAAGACATGATTGCCGGTTGCATTCGACGAGGTTTCAACATTGCGCGGATTTTTTTGAGTTCACACGCACACGTGTAGAAGTGTTGTTTGGACATTCGCTTAGATGAGAAATTCGCATACCGCAGCCTTCATATAATTATATGAACTCGTATGAAAACTGTTGAGGAAATCTTTTCCCTTTGGAACACAACTTCTTTGCTACACTTAGATCGTGCCCAGTCCGCGCGGAGTCATACGCATTCATATGTGAGGACAAAACAATAGATTTCCTTCACACATAGATTATGTGTGGCCTTCAGGGGTTTATGTCGTCACGTACACGGAGTTGAACCAGGTGTTGTGAAACATACATTTCGTTAAACCAAGTGTTGTGGCAGTGGATTCGGTTCCAGCAGTATGAGGAGGATCGTATGCATTCGCGCAGAAACAGATGGATGACATGGACTTGCGTTAGTTGGACAGCATTTTCTCGGAATGTGACTTGCTATGTTGAAGCATTTGCGGGATCATCACACATTTCATGCACAAAATTTGGTTGAATGGATGTGCGAAACATGCGTCTCTGTGCATTACTAGTCCCCGTCTTCGCGGGATCATCAAGCGTCATATGAAAAGGGGCAGAGGGCAACCATTGCATTCGATTGCGGTCAAAAGCATTGTTATTGAAACGCTATTGTATGATCGTCACGGTATCGGGTAAACTTACATTTGGTGGGCCTCTTGCAGCGCTCGTGGGGCTTCTTTTGGGCCTTTTCGGCTGTCTTGGAGGCATCGGCCATCTTGGCGGCTTCGGTTGCCCCCCCAGGCCCGTTTTGGAAGCCATCTTGGGCATTTGGGACGCATCTTGGGCGCATTGAGGTGCGCCTGGAACCCATCCCACCGTTGTGCGTGTGTTGTGGGTCAGAAGCGTCAGGGATGCTCGTGGCGAGCGAGAAGAAAGAGGAGGCCCAGGACCAGGACAAGGAGGAGCAGGAGGAGGAGGAGGAGGGGAGGATAAGGATGAGGAGGAGGCCTCTCGATCGCTTCTTGGGGCGTTTTGGGGCCAAACCTGATCGTGGACAAGGCGCTTGTTTGGGAGGCTGCTTGGGTCTCTTGGGAGGCCTCTCGGAGGCATCTTGGCGGAATTTTGGGGACCTCCTGGGGCCTCTTGGGGTTCTTTGGGGGGCCTCTTGGGGCCTCGTGCGAGCCTCTTGGGGGTTTCTTGGGGCCTTCAGGGGGCCTCTCGGGGCCGAGAGCTGAAATTTCCGTTCGGTTGCTTCGTCAGGTCCCGCTCTTGGACCTCTCTTGGGGGCCTCCTGGGCCGTCTTGGGGGGCTCTTGGGCTGTCTTCGGGCCCTTTGGGGCCGCTTTAAGGCCCTCTTGGAGGCGTCTTGGACCGCATTGGAGCGCGGGTAAGACGAACAGGCGAGAACGCCCAAATCCTTGAAAAACCAACGGACATCCATTACTTTTTGCCTCCGGGGGCTCTCTTGGGAGGGCTTTTGGTAGCCTCTTTGGACCGATCGTTCGACGACTGGGACCCCTCTTGGACCGTCTTGGATGCCTTTAAGGCCCTCTTGGAGCGCTCTCGACGGCTTGCATGGCGGCGCCCGAGCCGGCCAGGGTATTTTTCGCCCAGGGACCCCCAGGGTCCGCCTCGCGCACGCGAAGCAGAAGTATTCCTGGGTAGGTCCTACTGGCCTCCTGGGTGTTCCCAACTTCCCTTCCAACAACCACCCCCCAGGGTATGTGTAGATGAGTTCTAAGCCTACGAGGCCTACTACAAAATGAACTCCTAACCTACGAGACTACAGAATAACTCACTCCTATATAGCTGCGCGCTGATATTATCAAGCCACTTCCCCTCATTATCTGAATCCCCTCTCCCACGCAGTGATATCATCCGACTTCACGGCTCCTCAGGACAGCTGCATCGCATGGCATTGCATGCATTGCGTGGCATTGCCATGCCGCGCCTTCGAGCTAATAAACAACATGGGGGGGTGAAACAGAGAAAGTGCAAGAGCAGCCCGTGGGAGACTAGCGGCGACGTGGGAGACTAGCAGTGAGCAGGTTGAGGAGCAGCCTGTGGGGGTGGGAGACTAGCAGCCCGTGGGAGACTAGCAGCCTGTGGGAGACTAGCAGCCCGTGGGGGCCCAGCAGTGAGCAGGTTGAGGAGCAGGAAGGAGGAGGATGAGCACGAGAAGGATGACGACGACAAAGAGAGAGGGGCGAAGGAGGAGGAGGAGCGGGACGAGGAATGGTGAGGAGCGAAGGTGGAGGGGAGGAGGAGGAACGGGACGAGGATTTGTGAGGAAGAGCTGTTCCCTTCGTGCCGCCGCTTGCCGCCCTCTGGCTCGGCTCCGCGCGGCGGGCCCTGCGCCGGGCGCGCGCCGCGCGGCCTGCGGAGGCCCGCCGCTTGCGCGCGCGCGCGCGCCCGTCCTCCCCCCTCTCTTTATCCCCCTCCCTCTCCACTCCGTTCCTCATTCCACGGCTTTTCTTTTCATCCTGCCCTCTTCGGTCTGCTCATTTCTGGTCGCTCCTCTTCCCTCTGCCCACCTTCCCTCTGACCACCTTCCCTCTCCTCTCTGACCCCCTTCCATCGCCTCTCTGACCACCTTCCCTCTCCTCCTGCTGCTCATTTCTGGTCGTTCCTCTTTGTATTGTGTTAATTGTTTGCCCCATCTCCTTCTCGCGCCGCGCCCGCCTGCCGCCTCAGCGTGCCCGCGCTCACTTAGAGCCTCGCGGGGGTGTTGAGTGGAGGAGGGAGTGAGGATATGATGATGATCGCGACGAGGATGGCAAGCGAGGAGGGCAGGAGAAAGAGTGGAGTAATCTTCCTACTCGCCCTCATCCTTCTCCCTTCTCCCTGCCCCTATCCTCCTCGCCTTCATCATCATCCTCCTCACCCTCCTCCTTGCCCTCGCCGACTGCCAGGGGAGGGCAGCAATTGGACAGCCTTTGGCTTAGGCGCTGGCGTCGGGCCCCCAGAGGGGCAGAGGGGCCATTGGCGGGCTGCTGGCATGGCGGACGCGCAGGTGCACGGTCGTTTGTGGGGAGGTGGCATGGCATGAGGAGGCAAGCGGGGGAGAGCAGAGAAGTGGGGAGAGAAGAATGATCATGTGGATCGCGGCGTTTTGTTTCGGCCGTCGCACTCCC